GACTCAATTATTTATATGTTTTAATAGTGACTTAATTAATTGCATCAAATAATTACATCAATTGCGTCAAGGATCTATGAATTTCAGCAACATGTATATTATAAACATACTTACCATAGTCACTAACTTTTATATTCAAAGTGAATTCAATTTTGCTAAATGCATTTTTAAATTAATTACAAATTATCTTAATTTTCTTCTATCCAATACTAAGTAAATAATTATAGCTGCTTGAAACCTTTTGACAAGATATATTGTTTTAAAATTTCTTTTTAATATTAGTTTAAGGGTTACTATAGATAAGCTAGTATTTAACTCATTATACTATTACACATGAGAGATGTTGTTTCTTTTATAATATATATCTATAATTATACAAATTAAGTAAAGAAATGATGTTTACCTACAAAAAAAAAATAATAATAATAATAATAATAATAAATAAATTTTCCAAAAAATATTGCACACTACTGTATATCAAAAGTTTTAAATATAATGATTTGTTTTTTTATTTTATAATAATTTTTAAATAAACTTCAATCCCTTAAACAGATTCAAATATCACCTACTTAATATAGTTAAAGAAGTCATCAACTCACCACCAAATAATGAACACATCCTCCAAGAAATTAATATTTTTGTCAACCATTTCTCTCAAACACTGTTACAAGATCTTGGTTTGCAACAACATTATTACATTTAATTCCATAAGAACAATCTGTTTATAAATGAGATCGAAATAAAACTATTTAACTCCTGCTTGTCACCAGACAACATTCTACTGACAATCCTTGATATAGTTCAGGGGGCTCCAGTTCACTTCACTATTAAGATCAGAAACAATAAAAAAATTTTCCAACTGATTCCAAAATATCCAAGAAGAATGGTTAAAATCAACTTCTCCTTATTAATCCAAAGAATTAATTAACACATATAACAAAAATCTATAGAAATTGTATACATCAAATTCAAATTCAGACTAGTATCAACCAGAATCACCCAATGGGACAATCTAATGCTATATTTTCCTGAAAATCCTCTAATCAACAATATCTGTTTGGGCAGTAGTATCAGATGGTACAAGAAAATTTTTAGCATCACTAGAGACTACATGATATGTGAAAGCTCCTCAGTCATTCAAATATTTGAATGAATGCATACCCCACATGGTCTAAAAGTTATCAACTAATCCAACAAAAATATCAAAAAACTCCACAACAACAAATACAGCATCTTAATGGTCTTCAGAATTAAACTGTTCTCAGGAACTCTTCCAACTTGTCTCATACTTTACCAATTATATTCTAATCAATATTCAGACACCTGGTGTCCAAGATGTGAACTTCGCACTGAAGATATTTAACATGTCTTTAAATGCTTAAAAGCTTCACAAGTAGCTGAACAAATTATCAAAACCGTCAATCAAATTCTTTATCCAGATTGTAACCATGAACCAATATCACATATATGGCAAGTTGTCGAACTGTCATATGGATTCATAGACAAAATCTTTTTTATCTCAACCACCACTAACTGGATCAAGGCAGCAACAGAATCCTTAAGTTTATTACATGACCTAATTTGAAAACCACATTGCTCCATAGCCAATACCTCATCTCTTACTGGAATTAAGTGGAATAATGTCAAATCTCATAATTCAACCAATTTCAACAAACCAAAAACATCTTGCAAGACAAAGATAAAGACAAATCTAATAATAATTTACAAGAAGACATCATTATTGACCTACTATCTATTGTTGTTAACTTATTTATTCAATCTAAATATAATTATTTCAAATGTATTTATAATCTAATAACTTTAGTCACCAATCTTAATTTTACTTCTCCTAATACTGAGTAGGTATTCATAGCTGCTTGGTGCCATTTGGCAAGATATATTGTTTTAAATTTTCTTTTCAATATTAGTCATATGGTTACTGTAAGCAAGCTAGCATTTAACTCATTGTATCAACACATGAGAGATGTTGTTTCTTTCATGATGTATACCCTGTTATATACAAACCAAATAAAGAAATGATGTTTACCTACAAAAAAATAATAATAATAATAATAATAATTTTAAATAAAAATTTTAAAAATTTTTTTATTGATATTAATATTGTACAAGTACACTGTATATTTATTTACAGTATACTCGCGTGTGATCTGCAATGTAGAAAAGGTTGTCTATTACATAATACGTGATATTCGTTCAAAAAAAAAAAATTCAACTAGTACAAATCTCGTCATGGCCAAGTTCAGTGTAGATAACTTCAATTGTAATGGAAAGACGACTAGGATTGGTTCCTTATCACTACAGCTTCAAGAATATTCGATTATCGAGGATTTATTGTTTGTGATGATGGTAGTTAATTTCTTGACCTTGAACAATGTTTATATCTTTCAACAACCGACATTAGAAATTCTGTGAAATAGGGTATCGAAGGAAAATTTATCGAGAAAAATTGGTCAGAAAAAAGTCCCGGGGATAGGCAAGGACTAGAAGAGACCTATTTTTCGGTGGACAGAACGCTAGGTTATTTATGTTCTTTTTTTTATTGTCCTAAAAATGTAATTGCTTAAAATATATATCTACTTTCGCATGCAGATCCATCACTAAAAGATTTGACCGAGCGTATCCTACCCCTTGCTACATATTATATAACTATAGATTCATTTGTTGAAAAGTATTCGGGATTCGAATATGGATTTATAAACCATGCGCTGTGCGCAGCAATGCGAGGTTTATTAAAGGTACAATTATATTTCGTCGCAAAGAAAAAATATTTGAGAATAGCGTTAACTGAAAAGTTAATGAAAAAAAATACATGTAGGAATACATTGTCTTGATAACACAACTGGAGCATCAATTTAGATCAACACCGTCATTTACACTACAGAAATTCTGGCTCTATGTGCATCCAACATTGCACACGATGTCAAATCTTCACCTGTTAATAATGGATATAAATGAGGCTTCAGACGCGATTGATTACAGCGAAATTTTAATGGTTGAAGATTTTCACAAAAATGATACTCAGCAAATCAAAGGTGGTGCTTTGCTAGGCATACTAGTGGATCGGATGACGACCATGAGTGGGTAATGAAATTTCGCAACATACTCGAGGTTACTGTTTCTCATATAATCAATAGACAATTAACGATATACCTTATTAGGGATCCTGATACTAAAAGACTTTATATGCATCTACTTTCCAAGTCATCACAACCATATGTCACAATATTGCATTCATGGATACACTATGGAGAGATTAAAGATCCTTATGATGAGTTTATGATTCAAGAAAGGAAAAGTGTCAAAAAAGAAAATCTCAAAGAGGATTTTAATGATGCCTATTGGGAAATGCGCTATACAATTCGTGAGGAACTTATCCCCCCTTTCTTGATTCCATTTAAAAATAAAATATTGTTGGCTGGAAAATACCTTAATGTTGTTCGAGAATGCGGAATTGCTATACAAGAGCCACAAAAACAACCAATAGACGACACTGTCGGTAAAGATGATGTTGATCGAACTGACATTAACATGAGCAATGATATATTAATAGCGATGGATGGTGGAAGGTTAGTAGTAACGTTTTCGGGCATTTGCTCAAATAAAATGAATCCACTTATAATCTGATTACTTATGTATATAGATTTGTGGATAATATTGAGAGTGCATATAAATGTGCTAATCGAACTTTGTTAGATTTATTACTAAAAGATCAGCAACTTATCGACAGATTACGGTATATTCTACATCGACTTTATTTTGATGACCACTGCTTTCATCAATTTTCTTATATCGGAAAGGAATGTGATTTATGAACGAAAAATATAGATCGATAAAACGTTATTTCTTTCTTGACCAGTCGGATTTTTTCACTCATTTTCTCGACCTCGCGTCAGCAGAGTTGAAGAAGCCATCCAATCAAGTTTCCCTCACAAAACTTCAATCACTACTCGATATAGTTCTTCGTAATCCGTCATCAGTCGCATATACTGATCCTTTTAAGGAAGACGTTAAGGTCGAAATGAGCACTGTCGGTTTGGTGGATCAACTGTTGCGTATAATTAATGTGGCTGGAATGGTGGAAACTACTCCAAAAGTTACTAGGAATCGAATGGCAGATAATTTTTTAATTAGAAAAGAAATGGGAAATGAAAGCGAAAATGATGGGTATGATGAAGGTACTGAAAGGCCTGGTTATGCTGCTAGTATTGCAGGCAGTGTTGCTAGCACTTTAGCGGGCAGTGTCACCAGCAGTTTTGCGGGAAGCGTTATGGGTAGCAGTGGCAAACAAACATTAACAGGTATACTATTTCCCTTTATACATATTAGCCTATTAGTGATATTTGAATTAAACGTTAAATTTATTTAGTTCATTCTTTAATTTAGGAATTGAGGCTCTCACATTAGATTACATAGTGACATTTCCCCTTTCACTCGTTATTTCACGCAAAGCACTTACAAAATATCAACTATTATTTAGACATTTGCTTTTCCTAAAGCATGTTGAACAATTGTTGTGTCACACATGGACTGAACATGCAAAATCTTTTTACTGGAGGCGTGGCTCAAGTCACCCTTCTCTTGAGACTTGGAAAAGTCGCGTATTTGCCCTTAGACAGAGGATGTTGGTCTTCGTGCAGCAATTCACATATTATGTAACAAGTGAAGTTTTAGAGCCACAATGGAGAAATCTGGAGGCCAATTTATCAAAGGTGAATCGTAATTATTCGTTAATTGCTTAACAATTTAATTAACATACATAATATATTTTTTCATGATAATTGCTTTCAGGTATCGACTGTTGATCAAGTATTACAATACCATTCTGATTTTCTGGATACGTGCCTTAAGGAATGCATGCTAACAAATGCTAAACTTTTGAGAGTAAGTTTCATTTATTGATATTCGATGCTTAGTTTTAAGAATACAAAATTATGTGTTAATAGAGTTTTACCCATGACATCAATTAGATATATTCAAAACTTGTATATACATGCGTCCTTTTCTCTAACTACACCGAGAAATTTACGAAATCTCTTATTTCCCAAGTAGACTCTACTTCCAACCTTTCAATGGATCAACAAGAACGTACACTTCGTAAATTTGAAGATAATTTCATCTATCACATCAAATTGTTAATCGAAGCTTTGAATTTTTACTCCGCTACAGAAACAGTTCAATTTTTATGTTTGGTAGTTAGACTTGATTATAATCTTTTCTATGCTAATCAAGAGGGGTCCGGCGGAAATGGTATTGGTGGATACTAAGGACTGATATTTAAAGATAGAACTAAATAAAAAACTGCACAATTTGAGTATGGCGGTAACAGTTATTGTATTCATTTAACAATTTTAAAAATTTTTAATATTAAATAGAAATATTTTATATATTTAGTACATATGTTTAATATTATAAAATTTATATCACATTGGATTATTAAAATTTTCATAGTATATTGCTCAGAAAAAGTATTGCATATCTTAAATTTATTATTAATTTTTTTTTCTCAATCAGGCTGGTGTCATTTATTTATTAAATCAAAATGAACCTGTATAACAAACATTATATATATAAATCTTCTTAACCCAGCTTACCTATCTATAAAATTTATTTTCTAGATGCTTATCTACTAGTTGGAATTAAAATTCCTTTTGCTTAATAAAGTCATAGCCTATAAATTATCTCTACAAATAATGTATTATAAATCCAATTTGAGTTTTTAATTTAATGCTAATTATTTTTTACTATATTTTATAAATTTATATACGTATTAACTTTTTTACTTTGTTTAATTTATCAATATATGTTTTTCTTTTTTTAAAAAATTTTTTATTTGATTATTTTGTAATTAATTTTTATAGCTATTTGTTTTTTCTTAATGTCTTGAAGCAAAGTTTTTGAAATCAAAATCTAATTCAAAGTCTATTTTGTATTTTATTAGCAATATTGACCAATATAATTAAAATTTTTTGTGTTTAAACTACTTTGAGATCTTTTTTATTCTTAAGTTTAAGCCTATAATTTAATTGGTTTTTTTTTTTAAGATGGTTAGATGTAAAAGTCACAGTTTATTTTTAATATATATATGATATTTAAAGAATAATAAAAAACATATCTCTTAAATTGTTTTGCAAAAAAATTTATCTACAAAATTAAATAATATTAATATTTTTTAAATAAGACAATTATTTATTTATTTATTTATTTTAAAGATAGCTAATTCATTAAAATATTCATTTTTATTAATATATATTAATATCAATTTTATATTCAAGAAACTCATATATATTATGCAAATTATTTCTGATATTATATTTTATATTTAATATCTAAAATTTATCACTTAATAATTTATTTTTGTAATATTAAAAAGCTAAAGGATATAAATCCTATTATTAATATAAAACAATTACATACTTATTAATAATATAAAACAATTACATACTTATTAATAATATAAAACATATTTATTTTAAGTTTGGAAGTTTTTTTTATTCTTTGGTTGTATAGAAAAAGATCTATGGCAGTTCTTCTTCTTAATTTTGTTTTTATGTATCTTCTTTTTTATTATTATTATAATTATTATTCTTATTATTATTCTCAATATTATCAATTTTCTTTTAAAAACATATTTAAGTAAAGTTATAGGTCTTTCTACTTGTCTTAACCAAATCCTTCCAAACAACTTTTATATAATATGCTTTATTGCATTATCTTAATAATAATAAAAATAAAAAAACTCTTTCCGCTGATCCATTTACCAACCCAAAAAACAGACGTTCTCAAAAGATTTTATATCTTTTTGATAA